GCCATTTTCGTTGTGGCTTTGGTAACATTTGTGAATGAAAATAAATATTCTTCTTGTGATTATTTTCATCTTCTTGATAAAGCACACCTCCAATGCACTCATCTGACGCATCGATTGCTAATGTTAACGATAATTTATCGTCAGGGTAAGTGAGAAACAATGGTTCGGTAACTAATAACATTTTCAATTGTTCGAAAGCGTCGCGTTGTTCCTGTCCCCAACGAAATTTGTTTTTGTTTGCTTTTGTCAGATTAGTAACAGCTAATATAGGGGCAGCGATGCGAGCATAATCATGGATGAATTTTCTATACCACCCAATAGCACCAATAAAGGCATTTGCTTGATTCAATGATACTGGTTGTGGAATAGATAAAATCTTTTCAATACGATCCCGTAGTGGCCGAACTCCATCCCGACTGATTGTGTGACCTAAATAATCTATTTCCGTGCGAAATACTTCGCATTTTGGAGGGTTGAGTTGAAATTTATGCTTGTTGAGAATTGCCAAAACTTGATTCACATGCTGCAAATGCTGTTCGAATGTATCCGAAAATATTAATACATCATCTAAATAGACAATACAGAACTGTTTACATGGCGACAACAAACTTGACATAATTCTTTGGAACGATGGTGGACTGTTTTTAAGACCTTGTGCCAAAACGTTGAATTCGAATAGTCCGTGAGTTGTGATAAATGCCGTTTTGTGTTTGTCGTGCTCTTTGATTGGAATTTGAAAATAACCCGATCGAAGATCGAATTTCGAATAATATCGACGACCGCCTACCATTTGGATTGCTTGTTCGAGGTTTGGTAATGGGAATTTGTCTTGAATCGTGATGTTATTAAGCTTGCGGTAGTCGACAATAAAACGATATGAGCCATCTCTCTTTTTGATCAACAATATAGGTGCGGAATATTGTGAAAAAGACGGCCGTATTTGATTGTTGCTTAACATCTGTTGGATGATATCAAACGTAGCATTTTGTTTGTCAATAGTTTGAGGGTACGGTCGTGATGTAGGTGGTGGTTTGTTCTCAGTGCAAATAACGTGTGGAGTGTCCGTATCGGCTATTGTCGTTCTTGAAGTGTCGAATAGCTGTTGATGTCTCCTGAAGATCTTCAATACTTCGTTCGATTTTTGTTCGTCATTGATATGTTCTAACAAAGCATGAATATTTTTTGTGCTAACTGTTGTTATCGAGTCAGTTTGATCTTCATCAACTAGATTTTTTGTTTGTGAGTCGAAAATGGTGGCTACCACAGATACCGATGCATACGGTGTTAATTCACCTATAACTTCTTGTGAATATAACGTTTGAGCTTCCATAGTTGAATTGTAAATCCACACCGTAGCTGTATAATTTCTGACTGGTATAACTGCATGTGCTGTAATCAATCCTTTCGTTTTCAGGACTTCAGTAGGCGAGAATAACATATGACCTGATGGAACTTGACATGCAAGTTGTATTGATCTTTCTTGTTGCGATTCGATGGATATGGACGAAACCGATCGACACGTTGACATGGCTTTTTGTTGCAGACCTTCCATTGGGAGTGATGCCAAAACCCCGTGTTTATGAATGTATACCTGTTTTTCTTTGTTGTCGAGAATAACCTGATTTTTATCGATGTAGTCCATTCCCAATAGACAATCGACGCATAAATTGTCCACAATGCCCACTATTATATCCGTTTGTATACCTTTCGCCTCGATAGCTATTTGTACTGTACCAAGAATATCGAATGTTGATTTTCCATCGGCCATCAGATAAGATTGTTTGGTTGGTTTTATCGGTAAATGATTTGTTTGATCAAGAGTGGATCTTTTGATAAAAGATTTTGACGAACCGGTATCAAACATAATTTTTGTCGGAATTTGGTTTATTTTTGTTGTTATAAAAATGGGTGATGGGTTTAGTAGCGATTTCGTAGGATCATCACCATCGAACGATGATCCTACTGTTGGAAATGTGGACACTGACTAATAAAATGATCAGTTCCATCACATCTATAACATCGATATGGTGGCTTCGGTGTACGATTGTTGTTGTACTTTTGTGTTGACAGATAGTTTGAGGTTTTTGTTCCGTGGTTGCTATTTTGCGTACTGTTGAAATAATCTGCTGGTTGCTTTGATTGTCGTGCTGGCATGGAACTTTCAGTTGCTCTCTGCGACGGTGTTTCGTCAGCTTCTTGATCATCAAGTGATTTCAATTCTTCAATCTTCTGTGCATATTCCAGAAAAGCTTCTGTAATTGTTGGATTTTTCAAACGAATATCAAAGCGTTAAGAAGATTTCAATCCATCTTTTAAATATTGAAGTTTGGAGGCTTCGTCCATTTTTGGATTTGCTTCCTTACACAACTTCATGATTTCAAAGTAATATTGTCGCACGTCTTGATTTAATCCTTGTTGATATTGTCGTAGACGATTAAACGCGATATCCGCTTTGCCAGAAGATTCAAAAGTGTCAAGTAGTTTGCGTACAAATAACGACCATGACGATATTGTATGATGATTGTCAAAAAACCAATCTTTAGCATCCGATTCCAAACAAGACGGAATGTAAAATAATTTCTCGGTGTCGGACAATTTCAACAGGTGCATTGTTTGATTAACCTCGCGTAACCACTTCGAAACATTTTGTTTTGACCTTCCTGTAAATTTTGGTAATTTTTCGATGTGACCTAATAATAATTGGTTTCGTAATGAGCCAAAAATACATTCTTGCTTATCGTTCACCATCTGGACTTGTTGCTGTTGTAAAACATGGTTGTGCAACGTAACTTTATTATCATCCTTGTTTGCCTGAAAATGTTGTAAGAATAGTCTCATAAATGACAAAAAGGTTGGCATTTGTTCATCGTGTTGTATATACCAAATGATGGCCTCACCTGTGAACACATTACCTACCCATTTGATGCGTTCTGCCATTTCCACTCCCAATAACTCGAATTTTTGTAACAACCCTGTTAACCATTGTTCAGCATCACCAGTGCCTGTAAATTTTTGAAACTCTTGTAATCCTTCTTCGATGAACTCTTGATGTGAACCTCGTGAAAGTGTGGATTGATCATTTAATTCATGACCATCCACCCTGATCACATCGGTTTTTCCTTTGCATTCATTAACTTCAGCTTGTTCTCTTGATAATTCATCTGATACTTGTGATTCTGATATGCTTCGGCCAACTTGTGATCCAGGCGGTGGAACATATTGAAGGTTATCGATCTTGATTTTTGAAAAGTCAAGAACGGAACGAGTTTTTTTTTCAGTCATTGTTAAATATTGCTCAGCTTGCCACGCGGATAAATTTTAATTTTTTTATTAATAAAGTGATAATGACGAAACAGCTAAAAAAAAAACGAAAACCGGCTAGTGCACCATTGTTAGGATCCGTATTCGTCCAGAAGCCAACAGAAGTCAAAAATCGATGAGTGGGCACCTTTTATTTTATTGCTCTCTCTGACACTGTCGAACTTTTCACCACGAGGACAACACGAGAGAACAACAGAGAGGAAAAACAAACAAACGACAACAACAACGAAACACACGAAGGATCGTCCGTCTATATGAGATATAGATGGCGATCCTGACACTATTGTAGCAGTCATTATTTCCGTACTCATCTATTTTATTCTTTATTCGTGATGATGAAAATAAAAATTAGTCTATAGTTTTGCGAACAATCATCGAACATTGTCTCAAATATCAATAGGGGTTAGTGGTAGGGGTGTTACTTTATTTTATAAAGAATAAAGATTTTTCTTTAATTTAATTCGGTTCTTTGGAGATGTGATACGAATATGAACTTCTCCTGAATGGAAATAATGGAAAATGTTGATCATCATCAATCAATGCGAGAGGAAGTTTTAGATCAAAAAATACTTTATTTTAAAAACAAATTGAGAAAAATTTGTATCTGTTTGCTTGATAGTTCGTTACTTTTAATTATCAATACGTTTGTTTTGTAATCCATCGATCTTTTTCTGACACTATATAGATGTTTTTCTTTATGTATATAACGTCTACACGCGCAAAAAAATAAACTCTTGAGAAATTCTTTATTTCTAAATATTTTGTATCTTTCAGAATCTCACACAAATTCGAATATGACTTCTAATATTTCAACAACAGTAATAACAATTGATCCATCTGTAGTTACTTTAAATATTGCTCGTATTGGAATTCAACGATTTGGTCAACCAATTCTTTTTGCACTAGGTATTATTGGATGTATAATCAATATAGCAATATTTCTTCGTCCTTCAATGCGTACAAATTCATGTGCCAATTTATGTTGTTTAACATGGGGTTTATTTATTAGTATGCTTGGTTTTTTTATGAATTATAATTTATTAAACTACAGTTCAGCATATTGTAAAATTCGTTAGTATATTCTTACTGCAGCTCAATTAGCAAGTCGAGCATGTGTAGCTTTAGCATGTTTAGATCGTTTTCTACTCTGTTCACAATCAGTTCGACAACGATCATTTTGTCGATCTAATATTGCAGTTAAAGTTATGTTATTAACTGTTACTAGCTGTGTTTGTTTATCAATTTATGTCTTAGTTGTTTATAATGCATTTCCTCAAACACGATCATGTACGACTTCATCAGAAATAGGAAAAATAATTGATACAACAATTTTATTCCCTCGACTGAAAGGAGGATCATATGAAAAAAAAAAGTTTGTCTGTTTGTGTCAGGATCAAGGGTCAAAAAAAACATTTTCATTTAAATCATCCAACACATTGAAAACTTCTACTGTGCTGACGCTGGACCAAGTGCGAATGAAGGGTGAAGGGGTAGGGGGGTGAACCCATTAGTGGGTGTATGGGTATGCGTCGGGGTCTTGGGTGAGAATATAGGTGGATTTATGTGCGTGGGCGGGAGGTCTGCCATGATTCATGAGGGATGAGTGTGTAGAGGTGGGTGATTGGAATCAGTGATCAGTGGCGCTGTCTCTTGAGTTGAGGATTATAGTTAAGTTTGGTGTTTAGTTCGTGTTGATTTGTTTATAATGAAATACGAAGTTATACGTGGGGTTCGGATGGCTAGGAGTGGCATTAGAACGCAATTGGAGTAGCTAGGGCGTTCCGGCTTTGATTCAACTGTAACTGGCCTATGGAGTAATAAAAAAACGACAAATAATTGTATGTGCTACCGTAGCTAAATGCAGTGAAAGCGAAAGAGAGAGGTATCAAGAGAAACGTTGGCTAAATTCAGATGTATCAAATGTAATCCTAATCCATTGAGTTAAAGCTATTAAAATCTATGGAAAATTTGCAAAGACAAATAAATAAAGATTCTGCTAATAATTGGTGATTACTATTGGTGATCGTAGTAAATTTAAATTAATGTTAAAAACAAGCAACGCTCGTCCTGCCGACTCACTTAATCCTTGACTGCGCAGGACAGATGTTTTTTTCGTGCCCTAACCGTGAGACAAATTGATCCAACAATTTTATATACGAAGAAACAATTCAGATGTTTTTTTAGAAAAAATTCAGTATTTTGTTTTCGAAAGTTACTAAATATTATCTCTGCACAAAAACATTTGAATTGCTTCTTCGTGTATGAAATTGTTAGATCAATTTATATCACAACTGGGACATGAAAAAATATCTGTCCTCCAAAGTCGAGGGTTAAGTGAGTCGGCACGGCGAGCGTTACTTGCTTGATTATTTCAAAAAATCTTTTGTAGGCAATACAAATTCGGTTGTACGTTTGATAGAGCAAGAAATTACATTTTGCAAAAATATTCGTCTGTATTTCTTATCGATTCTAGATTTTTATGAAGTACTCAGGTATTTTCTTTTTATTTGATTTAAAACTTATTTATATGAATATGTGAACATATTATGAATGATGAATAAAGAAAGTTTTTAAAAATGGATATAGAGATGCCTATCTCGAGGATGCGAATGTTAGTAAGTGAGAGACATTCTTCGCATACACTCTTGTTTGTCACTAGTTAATTTTTGTAATAAAAAATCGGATATTGTCAGCGATACAATAGTTTTCTTCGTTATTTGTATTAGTATCGTCATAGGTCAAATTTCTGATGAATCCAACTTTTAACTGAACTTTATGCATCTCACGATTAAATTGATTTGATACTTTCAAACGTTCGATTTGCATTTTACTCTTGGTTTCTAAATTGCAGAACAAACAAGTGCTAGAGGACTAAAAAGGAAATCAAGTTTCGTGATATGATTTTACCTCGATATACAGGTTCATATGTTAAACCATTCATATCGAAGAAAGTGAGCTGCATATAGCCGTATTGGTTGCCTGAACATTGGTAATCGATGGATACATTGTAGCGAGCGATACCAGCTGAGATCAATAGAATGAACTCATCAAAAGATATATTCTGAGCCATCGATACCGCCAATTTTAAACTATATGATGGCGTCACTCGAAAATGGTATTTTCCATAGCCTGTTGTAGAATTCTGGTTATTGTACGCAATGGAACTTAGCCTTCCAGGAACTGAGACAGTCCAACCAGTCGGATATGTATTGTTAGTTAGCAGATCCTGAAAATAGAGTTTTATGAGTCGCGAAAAATTATGAGTCACATGATCTATTGACAAAACTAGATCAACGAAAATAAAAGATGATGATAGATAATTCATGAGATAAACAATAGATTTTCGAATCATATGGTACTCAAAACAATCGACTTGAAGAAAAAATAGAAAATCGTATGCTTACGTTCTGCTCGGCATCACCATTAACCACTAAATTTTTCCTTACAATCGGTCCCCATGTTCCATTAGGCAGAATAGAATTATGCAGTTTCATTCTTTTCAATAGTTGATCTGATATGATTGCTCCTGTCAAGTTCGTACCTATAAAATCCATATATTGCGTAATCCATCTGACACCAGTAAAATTACACTCGACTAGTGATGCTCCAACAAAATCCATCTCGAAAAATGTCCCTTGACTAAAATCTGCTTGGTTCAATACTGCAAATCTGAAAGATGTTCGAAAGAATCGTGTTCTAGTGAAATTTATCTTGTACATGATGGAATAAGAAAAGTTTGAACGGTCAATGAAACAGTTGATAAATGATGCCTTCGATAAATAAACATGATGTAAGTAGAGGTAATTAAACGAACAAGTAGCATCCACTGTTCCTCGAAAATTGACTCCATTGAAGTCAGCTTCATTGACTTTCAATAAGGATGAAATTGCCTTTTCTGGTGAATGATAAATCAGTTCACTATCATAAAGAAACAAGAGTAAATGTTTTTTCCGTTCTCTGTCGAGTTGTCGAAGACTAGCTAATGTTTTAGCGCGGATTTTCATCAACGTATCTTTGCTATTATTCATTGTGAATAGTTCTGAGACATCATCAAGATAGGTTTCGTATACTTTTTCTTTGTGTAAATTTTCGGCATGGAGATCAGATTGTTGTCTCGAGAGAAGGGCATCCTGTTTGTCTTGTTCACGTTGTGCAGAAGAAAATTTTTGCTGTTGAATTGTTGTAATCACAGTGAAAAGACCAATAGTGAATGGAATCAAAGCAGAGAAGAATAATTTAATTAAACTTATGCGATTTAATTTTCTTGTCATCTGAATATTGTTACTAACAGAGATTTTCATACGAATACTATTGTTCACCACAATAATATCATCAGATTTTCTCTCTCTTTATTATATAATTTATTACAATAAAATATCTGACACTTTATCGCTTTGACACGTATATAGAAGAAAAAAGTGAAAAATGTATTTAAATCACGTTTCTTATTCTTCAAATAAAATCGGATGGTGTGAATTATTCATTTTTAGACACGTGAATTGAATCATATAAACTGTCGATGACAAATATCATTATTTTTTAATCAGAACAGGAAAATCTCCAATGACACGTTTTAAAAACATTGATTTTTATGTCTGTTTTTTTTTAACCCTTTCGAGGCGATGTGAGCCACCGCGGTGGCTCACACTATATTTTAACAAGAAAATGATTTACAAAATCGACTTTTTAATTTTTTTTCGAAACAAAGTGACAGTTAGTCATACATTTACTCCGTCTATGTCACTAGTTGACCTATTTGATTGCGGAGAGAAATGCTTTTCGTTAAAACAAGCAAGGCAAAAAAATTTATCACAATCGGGACAGAAAGTTTTTACTCTTTTTGCTGTTATTGCACTTGCTTCTCTTGATTGTTGTTGTCTAATCTTTTCATAGCAACCGACACATCTTCTTCGGCCATTGCGTGCAGTTCCTTTCATTTCTTCGAGCAAGTGATCAGTGTGTTTTCGTTTTCTCTCGTTTGTTGGCTGTTGTTTTGGGCCAGGTTTCAAGTTCTCAAATGGTACACCAAGAAGTAAAGATCGCATAAGGCTTTCACGAAATTGGAGCATAGTCATATTGCTTGTGCTATACTTTTCTTTGTAAATTAAATAAGCATTAACGATGGAAGTTCCAAATATCAATTCAAATGCCACCTTTTGATACCATTTTATAGATCGACTAAGGCATGTATAATATGATGACAACTGATCAGATAAATCTATACCTTGCTTTCCTTCGTTGTAATCCAGTATCACCTGTGTCTTCATGCTACGTTCATTTAACTTATTTATTGTCTTTGTATCTGTCACAGCTGTTGAATGCGATGGCTTTGTAGATATCATCAAGACATCTCTTTTATCTTTCCATTTGATCAATTTAATACCATATTTGTTCTGAAGACCATAAATTTCACCACGATTGAGCTTTTTCTTCATTATCTCACATGCTGATCCGGCGCGGTTACTTCTGAAAGTTCCAATAAGATATGTATCATTTTATAATAAATGTCGTACAAGAGAAATAGTTGTAAAGAAGTTGTCAGCTACCACAATTCGATGAGATCCCGAAAGATCATTTACCAGTTGCATTACAACTGTTTCAGCATGACCATGACCTGCGATTGAACTCTGCTTACCAGTATAAACCATAAAATTGCAAGTATATCCTGTCGTACTAGCTACCTTGTATATTTTCACCCCGTATTTATGAGATTTACCGGGAATATATTGTTTGAAGAGAAGTCTACCTTTCCATGGGACCATTGTTTCATCAATAGTAACAATTGACCTGGAACGTAAACTGACATAAATCTCAGTTGCAGCAGGCTGAGAAGTGGTTTCAGCTTGAACAATATGTCGTCATCTTCACGTTGCTCCTCATTTTTCGAAAAATGATAAAATTTGAGAAGTAATTCAAATTTGTCTCTTGACATGGTATTTTGAATAACTTCAGAGCCATATAACTTGCTTTTGCTCCAATAATAGTTCACTCTTGACATTCGTACCAGACCCATTTCGATGATAATTCCCAAGAATTTTAACATTTCTTCATGAGTAGTTGGTTTCCATTGAAGAGCTTTTGATCGTTGGGCAAGTTCTTGAGCTTGTAAGTGTTGCTGTGCATATCGATTAGTTTCATGAACCATAAGGTTAATGATTTCATCAGTGATGAAATGGCGATAACAATCGATAGGATAGATTGTATTATCTTGCGAAGTTGAATTTACTTCTTCGACGATCTCGTAGTCTTATTGAAATTCACCATCCGATTCTGAATCTATTTTATTCCATATCTGTGAATCTAATTCATTATCAGAAAGTTCTTCTTCGGAGCTTGAGGATTCGACTTCCATTTTTTAAAAACAAGCATCTAAAGCACTCACATCGCTGCGTGAGTTTTTGCTGTTGTCTGTGTCGACTTCTTCAGATGACATTCGTTAAGTCGATGTATTGTGCGTTTGGTAATTTAGAGAAGAAAAGTAGGAGAGAACGATGTGTATACTTATTGAAAAATGCGAACTGTATATATGGAGAATAGTTATCCAGGTATCGAGAGTAATGCGCATAGGATATCGTAGAAGATGATATCCATATAAAGAAATCCATGTAGAAGATATCAAGAAGCGATGATATTCGACGACATATATCAAAGTGAAACAAAATATCTATGATATCTAGAGAATAAAGAGTACAACACTGCTACGAAGAACATTTCAACGAAATTTTATTAAAGATTCGAGCTTTCGATAGACACTTCTATCATCGTCAGGAATGAATAGAAAAGAGAAATTGG